ATTAATTATTTTGATTAATTGGTTAAGATGGCATAACTCTACAGTCAAAAGACTAGAGTTCGAATTCTCACCTTACATATTATCCTAACAAAAATAATTTGTAATCGTTGTATAAATACATTAATCAATGTTTTGATTCTTTTTTTTCTATTTTTCTAAAAGTCAATTCCTAGTTTATATGTAGTTTTAGTTCAACTGCGAAAATATCAATATTTTATTATTCATAAATTGACATGGTTATTTTTAAAAATTTTCGAAAATCAAAAGTGAATAAGCATCAAAGTTTAGATGAAAAATATATATATATATATTTTAAAAGTTTACGAACCAAAATAAAAAGAATTCAACTTTGTTTGAAGGCATGCCATTTGGGCGTCATCGATGGTTTCAAAATCATAAATTTGTTTTCTACTCAAATTCTTATTTAACAAATTATATTATGATACTGTTATATTATATTGTTTTTCCATTCTCTGTCAATTTCTTAAATAAGAATGAGTATTTTGTAATCATTCCTTAAATGTGGCTTTGTCCTTAAATATTCATTTAAAATTAAAATTTATCATGTGATTTCTGGTTTTGTTATTCTCAAGATACGGATCGTGATTCATAGTGGAAAAACAATAATGCCAACTTACTTTGGTAAAATTAAAAATTTTGAAAAAATTCAACAAACCAACTATTTTTAAATCTTGTTTGTCAATGATTTTGTTCATTTTTTAATTAATTATGTGCAACAATATCGCTGATTTGGTATGCAGATTATGCACCAATTTGTTGCCCATTATTTATAGTTTTTTCTTCTTTAGCTTCTAAATTTCGAACAACATTTTAGAATAATTTCAACTAATTAAATTCAAATGTATGACACAAATATTTAAACTGATTTCCCTATCCACTCTCAACTCTATTTGTAACCTGTGTAAGTAACTTGGATGGGTACTGTTGATGTCGAATTTTGTCCATAACAGAAAGTCGGCTACATTTTTCACATAGACGAGTCAGCAAGTTTGTTAGAATCCATACAAATGAATTAAATTTACCCAACCCATTAACTTAAGTTTTTGAGTTTATGGGTGGTTTATTCATCTTAAGATGGTATCAGAGTGGGAGGTCTAATGTTCGACCGGAAAATAATATTTCTGTTATGACATCAATTGGTTTTTTTTAGTTGGTTATTAAGGTTGTTGAGCAATTTTTAACTATTTTTTAATGCTATCAGATTCTCATGTTGGCGTTTTATCTAATCCTTTTGAAACTATTAATATTCATTCTATTTCAAAATCAATTGTTAGTGAGAGGAGTAATCATATTATTATCCCTTATCAGATCTCTTATTTTATCGATGAGATTCTTAACAAAGTCAAGCATATGCTAGCTTTTAAGAAACAACAAATCTAAAATAAAATAACTATGAAACCGAAATATATTATATAAAATAACAAGTTTTACAATTTTATATGAGATATGAAAGATATTATCAATTATTTTAATTATTTTTTCTTTTGCATGATTTTTCGAGGCACGAGAAAGCACTATATATATAATTATCAGATTTCAGTTATAGACCTGCAATGTGTGATTGGTCCAAATTTATTAATTTATTTTTAGTTAGTGGTCCAGTTTCGAAAATTATTCGAAATTTGCGAAAGAAAGAAAGACTGCTCGGAGTTGTCGGAATTCCTTCTGCCGATTCTTCATTTTCTAATTATTATATTTTTTCCTTTGATAAAAATATAATGCAGGAAAAAATGATCTATAATTTGAAGCATTTAAGCACGTGAAACACGACGTACTTCATATCAGAGGTAAACGACAATTTCGCAAGATTCATGTTAAGCCACTACCGAGTAAAAAAAAAAACTTAAGTTGATGGTAAATATATTTTATTTTGTCTCCTCCCATTATCGTTGTTTTTTATTTCTCAAGTTAAAAATAAACGTAAATGAAATTTTGGTAAGATAATAATAAGATATCTTAATTGCGATGCTGTTTAAATGATTAAATTTACCTTAACTCATCTTTTAAACTTCTAAATTATTGGTGGTTTAATAATATTTAAACTTATGTATATTTATTCTAAAAATTATATTAACAATCACATAACATAGATTCTTTTATTTCGTGATTGATAAATTTACGTTGGCTTGATTAATTTTTTAATAAAATATTATAGCTTGTTTAATAGTGATTTGTGTTGTTATTGTATTTTACATGTTTATAACTCAGAAAAAAAAAACTTAAAAAAAAGTTGTAACCAATTTTTAGAAAGGTAAAACGAGTTTTTAAATTATTTCGAAACTTAGTTGATATATATAAAAAAGGTGAGATTGATATTTAATATGACGTGTGGTGTACAATCACTGAACATATGAGGTCACATGCTAACTTTTTATTTACTATATTTCAATTTCTTATTTCTATCCCTTTATTTATAAAAATAAGTAAATTTGGTAATATGAAATACTTTTTGTTTCCTCTCCAAAAAAGAAACTTTTTGTTTCTACTTTTAAAAATAAATAATATACCTAAAGTTGTAGAGACAAGTGAAAAAATCGTAAACAAAAACGATACTTACTAAATTTGTTTTAGTTCATTATTTTAATCAGATTCTTTATTAGAGCTCTTAAAATTTTGAAAGTGATAACCATAATTATAGTTTGAAAAATTACTTGTTTGGTTTTTAAAAGCACGATTCTTTACTCTGAAAACTTACTAATTTAATAAAATTCAAGTTTTGCACAAATTAGATTGATTACATAATAACATCTAATAATTTCACCAAAATTTATAAATTTCAACAAACAAAAAATCAATTATGAAGTAGATTTTGTCATGCAAATCAATCCCTTACCAAACATATGTTTTGTAATTCATTTGATACATATGAACAAATATTTTTAAACAAATTTTCAGACAAAAATTATTTCACATGGAAAAAACTACTATATCTAAGTTTAAGTGTGATATGATAAAATTAGAAATATATATTAAAAATCGATACACGTCATTAAGTTCACGGTGAAAATTAATATATTTTCATTATATCTATATGAATCTGTGCATGCTAATTACCACTGAGTTCTGCTCGCTTTGGCTTTGGATATACACTCTTGATTATAGTTGTGTTTACTTTTTTAATTGGATACTTAAATCTATTATTTTTGTGACGTTAAAAAAAATATTAAAAATGTACCTAGTGTCGTAGATAAACGAAGGATAATTCAAAACTATATATCATAAAAGGGTAAATATATCAAATGGTCACTAATATTTTATATTTTTTTCTCAATATTTTAAAATTAACAATTTTACTTTTATTGTATTAGAATTTCTCAATTTGGTTTACTAAAAAAGAATTGCTAGGAAAAAAATACATACACCATTAAGTTATTATTTCATTATTTATTCAAATATTAGTTGATACATAAATTTTAATAGGTTCAACAAGAAAATCAAATCCACCATAAGTTAATGGTGCCTTAACTAAAAGATGTTGTACTCCTTTAATTTCAGTTTCTTTTTTCTATACGTACTAAAGAAACAGCAACAACAAAATCAAACCTGTCTATTAATGCAATCAATTTCGTCCCATTAACAAATCTAAATATATTAACAAAACATAACTTTCTCTCCAAATTATCTGACAATGTTCTCAATTAAAAAAAAAAAAAGACTATCGTTTCACGTATTTCTCTTTTTAAAAAGAGAAATCCACGTTGTCTGACGTTGTTTGGCTGTCAAAAGTATATACATTATTTATTTTTTTATTGTGCCGGCTAAAACAGACTTCAAGAAAAATAAAAAAAATCATTATCGTTTTGTGCCGATTAAAAATAATCAAGTTTACAAAAAAGGTAGAATGATCCCACATTAGTTGAATAATTTTTTTTCGAAATTCATAATCTTGATATATACTATAATTAGTTAATCATAAATAACAATTTTTTTCAAAGGAAAAAATTATTTTTCTAAATTAGTAAAATTAATCTCCAAATCTATTTTATATTAGCAAAGTTACATATCTCGTTTGATCAGTATAACACGATATCTTCTTATTTAATTTCTGGATTTCCTAAATACAGATTTTTAAGAAAATGATCACGCGGGGATTAACACTGAGTAGCGGCACATGAATTGAATAATAATCCTGTATAACATAATG